TGTAGGAGCAAAAAATTAAACTTAACATTGTTCTATCTATTGTCTCAGAATACACGGTTATATTTCATATAATGAACAGAATTAACATTATTTTCTTCACTTTGATAACGGCCATGGAACCCAGTTATTGCTCAGCAAAAATAACAATTAACCCACTGAGTGGCAGCACTGTCCACTTGATGAGTAAAATCGTCTGGCGTTAGACAGAGTAAAATACTCTGGCATTAGGCAAGGTAAAATACTAAAATAGGGTGCATCAGGGTGCATTGCCACTTATATTTAGGGTTAATACTTCTTCAAAGTTTTCACAGTATCCTACCTTGGCTCAGATTTGCCACACTGTTTCCTGTCATGGTGACATTGAAACGAATCTTCATTTTCCTACAGCAATTCATAAAATTATCGTAAAGTTATGATTAACCTGCTGGTAATTGTGACACCAGATCATCAACTATGACACCATCAATTCACCATACCAACCAAATCATACCAAACAACATCATGTCACACAAATACTACGTACTCCACGCTATTCTATACCACACCATATCATACCGCAACACCCTTACAAAAAATCAAATTGGAATTCCAATAAGACTTTCTATATAAAATTGGGCCAAATTCCAGTTGGAACCAATTGGAATTCCGATCAAGGAATTTAAATTTTCCTATTGGAAAATTTAACTTTGGACAGAAAAAATCATTCCAACCGGAGATTGGCCCAAATTCCAATTTTAATTCCAATTAGAATTAAGTCCAGTGGCCCATATAACACCCTGTACAACATCATACCATATGACATCACTAATTATCCATGGTATGGTATGGTATGATATGGTGTGGCGAGGTAATGTATGATACATTACCTCACCACACCATATCATACCATACCACATCATTACCACGTACCACTCGATACAATATCACACCATGCACCATTACCCACAGTTAATAGAAATTACCATAACACATCATTACCATAATATTCCAAATCAGACCCTACCATTACTATACGGTCTATACCACATTAGTGGTGCACCGGAACCAATTTTTTAAGTTCCGGCCGGATCCGGCCAGAACTGGAAAAAAGTTCTGGCTGGAACCAGACCTAGTTTATTAAAGGATTAGTGTCACACCAGGAATTTGCGGGCTCAAACTCATGGTGGCAGCCATTTTTCGGGACGAATAGATTAGATGATCTGGAAAGTTTTTACAATCCGTCATATATTTAAACCATCCTTTTATAATCCTTACTCATTTTGTCTGATTTTAATCAGAAATGTACCAAACAAGGCATTTTTATCGCTATTTGTTGTGTTTGAGTAAAATGTAAACAATAACAAAGAGGGTGGGAAAGGGGGTGGGAAAGGGGGGGTATGGATAACGTTTCACGTGTCTTAAAAAAGCAATTTCACGGAAAACTAGATTCTCATAAAATAATATAATAATAGGTTTATTAAGACTATGTTTAATGCATGGTACAGCATATACGGTTTAAGTTCTCTCATTTCTCTACCTGTCAGTTAAAAACAACATCATAACTTACAAGTTTGAGTGCGTGCCCTCAGCGCCAGGAACCTTGTCCTCAGCGCCAGGAACCTTGTCCCCAGCGCCAGTAACCTTGTCCTCACCGGCAGGAACCTTGTCCTCAACGGCAGGAACCTTGTCCTCACCGGCAGGAACCTTGTCCTCAGCGCTGCGAACCTAGTCCTCACCGCCAGAAACCTTGTCCTCACCGCCAGGTACCTTGTCCTCACCGCCAGGTACCTTGTCCTCACCGCCAGGAACAAGGTCCTCAGCGGCAGGAACCTTGTCCTCAGCGCTGCGAACCTAGTCCTCACCGCCAGAAACCTTGTCCTCACCGCCAGGTACCTTGTCCTCACCGCCAGGAACAAGGTCCTCAGCGGCAGGAACCTTGTCCTCAGCGCCAGGAACCTTGTCCTCAGCGCCAGGAACCTTGTCCTCAGCGTCAGGAACCTTGTCCTCAGCATCAGGAACCTCGCGAAAGGCCTCCGAAGTTTTTACTCTTGTGCAATCGAGTGAGATCATATAAATTTGATTATCGCGTATCATGTTTATTATAATAATCACTATAATAATCACAGTTCACGAAACAGGCATACTTAATTCTCATTTCACGGAGCATTTTTATCAACATTCACTCCTCACGGCTGTAGAACAAATCACATTTCACGACACTAGAATCAAGCACTTCACATTTCAAACGAACAAATATTCACCATTCACGGCTCACGAAAATACCCTTTCCCACCCTCAACAAAAACCTGCAATGCTATGACCCTGACACTAATCATTTAAGCCAAATATAGTCATATAATGTTACTTTGTCTGCTGCCAGACAGGCAGACACTCCAAATCATCAAGGAGGAAGCTCCGAAATGTTAGAATAAAAAGACTGACAAATGTTAAACCTCATAATGAAGTGTTGATTAATAGTGTACATAGTCCAAATTTCTTCCTATACTGTGAACTTTTGTTAATTAAACACAAAAACGTTTGATATTCTCTCTCTGAAAACGACAGAGTACTGGTTCTGGCCATTCTTTTCGTATTAGTTCCGGTCAAGTTCTACTCTAACTCCTACCACATCCCATCATGCCATATGTCACACCATTCAACACCATATATAACAATACCACCATTTTACTCACCATGTAGTTATAATTATGAAGAATCTTTGGTGGAACATATTTCTGAAAAGAAAATATTTTTTCGGTCAACTTTCTTTTTGGCATGGGACAAAGTGAAAAATAAACTAGGGCACATCAGAGTGCATTATATGCCACATACTTAACGTGGCTCAATGCCGGTTTCAAAACATCAGGTGTATTTATTTACTGTATAACAGTTTGACACTAATGTAAACGTCATATTATTAGGTACTATGCAGCAGATCGATATCAATCATATATTTATTTCCCATGTGTATATATGTACAATAATAAGTAACAAAACTATGTGTAGTTTGAAGGTGTTTGGCTAGAGACCTACTGGAAACCTTTTCAGGCTTTTTAATGTAGGCCACTAGTTAGCTTTGTAAAAAAAAACTTGCATATATATTTACAGTGAAGAGTAATTATTGAAGTTTAAACTATATTCACTATAGAATTAACGGTTGCTGTATATCTGTGGTCATTGCATATAAGTTGAAGATGATCTAGATTATTATAACATGTTGTTTGATTAATCTTTTGTAGACATTGTAAGAGTTTAATCTTTTGAATTTTGTATCTAATGTATTCCATAGATTAACCCCTTTGTTAGAAAAAACACTTGGGTAGTTTTGTTGCATTTCTTGTATTGTAGTTATGAATTTCATTGTTTGTTACAAAATAATTTTCAAATGCTTCTGGTAATTTTAGTATCGATACATAAACAAAGCAGTTAGATAATCATTTATTTTGAAAATATCTAAAATGCGTAATTCTCTGAATATAGGTTCTGTATGTTCAGAGTAAGATCTAAAAGTTATCAAACGCACAATTTTTTTTTGAATATTCAATTCAGGATGTTCATCTATGTTGATGTTACTTCTTTCACTTTACAGTATGTCAGTTTTGGGAGGTCATAAATGGTCACCAAATTAATATATCGAGCCACCCTAAAGAGTTATAATAATCACACCTTTCACTCCAAAATCAGTTTGTTTAGAATATATATATACCTTAATCTCCTGAACTGGTCGCTCCAACAAAGAATCTTCATGGCTCTGTAATGGTGGCAGACAATTGGCATCAGGGTGAAATCCACTTGGTAATATTACAAAGCAATTTGGATCTGCAGGAATACCAATCCTAAAACATATTGGTATTTATTTAGTGGTTATAGCAGGATGTAATGATTACACACATACAATGCAACACTTGTGATCTTAATTTTGTTTTTATTGGGATTAATGCATATTTGCAATCTATGCTTTGAATTGAGGCTTTTAGCCAGAGTCCTAAAAGAGGGCGTCCAATTTTGGTATAACGAAACATCTACAGCAAAGGGGGGTGGGGGTTAGAGAAAACGTTTCTCTGGAAAACCTTTGAAGTTTACGTTACTTCATGTCAGTATTTGTTCCAAGCTTGTTCGAAATTTTTCAAACACACTTGGCTTTGTGAGTACTGAGTTTGTGCCACTATGCTTCTTTACTTAACAATGACATTTTCATTCAGCCAGGTACACCATCAAAGTGATCAAAATGTCAAATGTATAATAATAATGAGAATTGAAGTTATTTCGTTTCAGATATATTAATAATATCCTTTGGGAAATAATTGAAAATATTAATTTCCTTTTTCCCTAGAATTTGGGCGTGCAAAGGCGTCCATTTTTCGTTCTAGGGGCATGCCAGGACGCCCTACTGGCCAAAAGTCTGCTTTGAACATGTTTGAAGCAAAACCAGAATTATTCCAAAATAAGTTTTTAGACATTCTCTGGTTTTTAAATATTTATTATTACGAGCTTTCGACTGACCCTACTTTATTACTTTACTCTCCAACCAGGCCTAGAGAATATGTTTTCCTTCCTGGCAGTAAAATCCAAAAATAAAATTTCCTGAGTAAATCAAATATAAAACTTAATTCCTGCATATATGTAGATTTCAGAGAACGTATGGTGCCACACAATATCAATTATTAACTTCAATCTTGGCAGCTAGAAGACAATCTTGACTCGCAAAGCTGAGTAATATGTTGTACGTGTTTTAGTGTTAGGTGGATGGACTTAGTATGGGATTTGAATGATGTGGTTTCTTGCACTTCACTTGGTGGAATTAATATTAGGTCTTAAAATGTATCACTTGGATTACAAACATTCGGGGTTCCGGCCAAGAACTGAGTTCTGGTGCACCCATACTATCCAGGTAGCAGAAAACATACCATGGTTCAAGATCTTGTTCAGTTATCCAGGGTTCCAGTGAATGAGCACTGCTTGGTAATCTATTAATTTCAAAAACAAAGCTCGTTACAGTTTTACGTGGGTAAGTCTAAAAAATAGATGTGTCTATTTACCTTCTATTACCATAATTTATCCATAATCAGGGCCGTAACTTCAGTATTACAGCTGGGGGGTGTGAGCTTGTTTTGCCTGACCAAAAAGGTGTGGCCAAAGTCATGTCCGACGAACATTTTAGTCACTAATTAATATCGTTGGCAGATGAGGTGACTACAGGGTCTTAGCCAGCCTACCATCCAGCCGTCTTTTGGACGGCCATTTTCAAATTTGGCTTTTGGACGGTGAACATAACATTGCTCACTTGCAAGCTGCCAAATCTGTCAAACCAAAGATTCCTAGGCCTAGCTGCCAAAAACCGTAGAATATAACTATATAAGATAATTAGTTGCTTTTTGTTGTTTTTTGGTTGTGTTCTTCACTCACGCTATAGCTTATCAAAACTACAAGTACTGTAGCATGAAAGTGACAACATATATCAATCATAAGATTAATATATTGGCAGATTTACTTAAACTGTACTACTGTAGTCAGTGTAGTGAGTAGTCACATAGTCTGAATAATTGAATATATTATTAGTTTTTTTGAGCGATTCTCAAGTGCGGTCACCGATTACTTCCAGCATTCGGAAATAATCACTGACATTGAATTACTGGTGCATGAAGTGGTGCCATGGTTCCATATGGCAAAATATGGGTGTCATAAATGAAATCTCAAATTTGGACACCCAAGTTGCAAATCCCCGTAATTTGTACAATTTTTCAGTACTATTTTCGTAAATTTATCAAAATTTTCCCTATACAACTATCACTTTTCAATAAATATATAAAATTTTTTGCTCAGCTCAATTATATATATTTTTGCCCAGCAAGCGTGTCGTTAAAATTACCAGACAAAACTGCAATTATATTACAATATATACAACCCCCCCTGTAGTTACGGCCCTGTCCATAATCCCCATATTTTCCCCAGACTATGCATGACAGGCATATAGAGACGGTATATTTAAATATGCACCTTTTTCAGGCACTGAACGACAAAGAAATAGTTTTATCCCACGAGCAATGAGACAGAGGTTGCATTAAAACTTAACTTGGTTTTTATTAACTTTTTACTAATTTCCTAGACTTTTAAATTTTTACTCCAAATTGCATATATAAAAATTTCTGATAGTTTGTAAATATTATTGCATGCCTATAGTTATGCTCTTCTCTTTTAATAAGCAATTATTGTATGATGCTGAGCATGATATCAAGAATTATTCAGACCGAGGTTAATGTTATCTGCCGAAGCGAAGCTGAGGCGGATAACATAGATCGAGGTGTGAATAATTCTTGATATCATGCGAAAGCCGAATCTAAGAATTGTTTTATTATACATTTAAAGACATGAGAAACGTATAAAACGATTCCTGCTCATGAGGTAGGAAAAATACAATTTGAATATCAAACACCTTGCACAAAGTCAAAGGTCAGCTAAATATTCTACTTCTATTTACACCTTTGTGGCTGTTTTCGTGCTTTCACTATCCTTATCTGCCAATAATTTGGAGAGTTCACTTTCATTCAGCAAAGCAAATCTGCTGTAGCCCATTGTTTTTGGGTTTTTTCGCGCGCTTGTAGGTTCAAGCCTTTGGCCGCGCAAGGGCTTGGGCACGAGAGAGTCCAATAATTTTTTGGGGGGATGCAAGTTCGATCCAAAAAACCAATTATTGGACGCTGATGACGTCATCGGCGGAAAATATGTACATAATAAATGCCGAATACTGAATATTAGCTGGTGCTTTCTGACCAATTAGAAACGAGAATACATATTAAATGTATAATAATAGACATTGTTGTAAATCCATTGTATTTTTAAACTAAAGATGGATCAATAAAATCATCATCATCATCATCATGATGCATGCCTGGTAATTCACACTTGTCTATTTAACAGTAAATATTCTATGAACTCGAGTCGAATATGAGCTGATAGCCGATGAGGTGCGTAGCGCCAAATCGGCTATCGCTCATATTCGACGAGGGTGAGTGGAATAACTGTTTTATTATATACACAAGGTCTGAATTCACAGACTTTGCTTTTCGGATATATTCAATATTTTTCTATTTTGTTTATGTTTTTATCTTCGCTCTTTCGGCTGATTATTTTTTCAAAAATATATATTTTTAACCATTTTAAATTTTTAAAATTTCTTTGCTAACCTGAAAACAAATTGTGGGAGTTTTTTCATTGTGTTTTTAATCCTGTGAAGGCTATAAAAAGCGACAACTTGTCGTTTTCTCGTTTGCAAAACATCGTAAATTCAGTTTGGCCGCCATTTTGTTTTTCTCTACTAGCAGGATATGAGCTAATATCCTGCTAGTAGAGAACCAATCAGATTGCAGAATACCTCATATCCAGACCTTGTGTATATAATAAAAGTCAATATTCAACATAACTGAAGATCTCAAACTCATTAACAATTCATGAGTAAATTAGCCAATCACAATGCTTTATTTGGTCACATGATGATACTGTAATGGATACCTGGAGGCTGCTCCATTTACTGTTCGGAGTACTCTGGATTTTCGGAACACCAATTAAATCAAACCAATAATGGTCACATGACTGTTCTGACGGTCACATGACTGCTCATGTGACCGTTTTTGGTTCGATCCAAACATCCAGAATACTTCAAACAGTAAATGGAGCAGCTGCCTCCTGGTGAAGTACAATGACCCAGTTTTAGTGATTTAGTCGTATGAGATGCCATCAATGATTTAAAATCCTCCAATTCGGACTGGACTCAATTTCCTCGGCTTTGCCTCGGACTTGATCAAATTGCATGGACTTGATCAAATTGCATGGACTTGATCAAATTGCATGGACTTGATCAAATTGCATGGACTTGATCAAATTGCATGGACTTGATCAAATTGCATGGACTTGAAATCTAGTCCAGTCCTCATAGTCGGATTTAAAATATTACTCCATAAATATTTTATAATTGCCCACCTTGGCATCTTGTCAGAAATTCCACAATCTTGGTCTTGTCTTAGATTACTTCCAGACTTGGTCGTATAAGTCTTCTTGCCAGAATGTATCTCGTGTCGAACCTGACTTAATGATTTACCAAAAGGTCGCCAAACTGGATTGACCAGATGGCTTTCAGACTTATTTGATTTTACTTTCTTTGTCCTATGTGATGACTTTGGCACACTTCGAGGTCTGCCAGCATTGTAAGTTGTTCTTTGAGCAGTTGTAGGTGGCCTATTGACCAGAACTAAATAAGAAATAATAATACATTCAATTACCTCTTTAAGTGGCAATGCGCCATACTTTATTATTTTACTCTGTCCAATGCCAAACAATTTTTAATTGTCCATTAAAGGGTGATCGGATTAATCGGACTATCTGGCCCATTTTTTTTTATCTAAATGTATCCTAGCCACTTTATGTATATTATTTATTTATTTATTTATCAGCTTTATTGGACAAATATAGTAGAAACATTTACAAGTTTAAGTCCAAAGGGGATAGCGCAAACGGGACAACGAGACCCATGCTAGGCGCACCCCCTCCAAAAAAAAGAAGGAAAAAAAAAACCCCAACCTAATTCACTATATACAAATATATATTACATAACATGCATATTAAGAACGGTGGCAGGGGCAGTCTCTTGTGAGCGACCAAGTGCATGCCATATCAACATTAAAAGTACTGTTGACCAATGCGGTGTATGTCACATGCAGAAAGCTTTTAAAAATTGTTAAACTGGCGAACTTTTCAGGAGAGGCTATTTTTCCAACATTATTCCAAGTTTTAACTATTCGTTTAAAGAACGATCCTTGGAAAGTGGATGTTCTACAGTAAGGAGATTTTAACATTAGAGATGGATTCTGAGTACGAGTTCGATTATGATGTATAAATGACACAAAATGTTCAATGTTCAAATCAGTGTGGCCGAAAATACATTTATAGACAAGAACAAGATCTCTGATTTCTCGATCGTAAGTTAGTGGCAATAAATTGAGAGTTTTCAGTCTATCTTCATAAGACATTTCTCCAACTTTACTTTTGAGGATCCAACGTGTAGCGCGCCTTTGAACTCTTTCTAATGCAACTTGTAGCTTCACATTAGCTGGGGACCACACCTCCATTGCGTAGCACAACTTTGATTTTACCAAAGTCAGGTATAGTGTTCGCCTAACTTTAGTATCTCTAATCAGGGGACAAGTTCTCTTTAAGATACCAAGCATCTTGTTGGCTTTACTGACGATTGAGAAAATGTGAGAATCCCAGGATAAGTTGCTTTTGACAATAATTCCCAGATCTTTTTCATGGTGAGTGCGTTGTAAAATTACATTACCCAGACGATAGTCAGTAATTACAGGTGGATAGTCAGTAATTACATTATTATATGCTTATCATGTTGCAATTTCTAGGCAAACTATTTTTTTAAATATATTTTTTTTTCAAAAATCAAGAGTAAACTAATTTTAAAATAATGAAAAAAACACATAAATAATCAAAACTTTCACGTGGGTCCCATGTGAGGGGAGGTGTCCCCTGTACAGCCAATTGAATTGTATTGCAGCCAATTGAATTGTATTGCAGCGTTGACGAATTAAATTAGGTTTTGTCACTAAAACTGTGTTTTTTGTACCAAGGGAGTCTAATTTGACTGCAGGCATTCTAAAAATACTGTACTGTTTCCGTTGCAGGCTAATTAATGTACCGATC